TCAATTCTTTGGCGCTCAGCCTTCTTTATGGTCCAGCTCTCACAGCCGTACATTACTACTGCTAGCTAGAAAGCAGTACAACTCCTATTTCTTGGACTGTCCAAGAGCCTGAAATAACTTTTCTAAGGAAAAGGATTAATTTTCCCATTAATACAGACCATATTTCAATGGGGTGCCGTCAGTCCTTGTGAAATATTATGTATCTCTTACAACCTGATTTACATACTTAAAACTATTCCAGGAAGCCATCACTCCAAATATAAAAATGCCATCTTGATTTGCAGTCCAATTTACGTTGCAGTTAAGTTTGTTTCTCCATTTCATGGCATGGGCATATAACCAAAGATGTATTTGAGGATCACAGGAAGAACATGTAGACTAAACTGCAGCATAAGATGTTTCTCCAAAATGAAATTCAGCCCAGAGGAAAATTTTTCAAATCATACGGGATAGATACTGATGCCAGAATTCTGCAAATGTCGGCAGCAATAATTCTCTGGCTTTCTTGCTGCAAAACAGGCTGGTTTTCCAAGTGAATTGTTGGTTTCATCTGAGTCTTAAGGTCCATGTAGCAGTTTAGTAACAATCGATCTCACAGCTTGGAAGCACAAGTTGTCAACTGCATCAAACTGTGTGTCATCGCACTGTTGCAAAGCTTGATATTATGAAGACCATTTAACAGACTGGATCATCCTGAATTCCAAAAAGGCATGAGGCTCCCACAACCATGGCTGGCTAGGGAATTCTGGGAGTTGAAGTCCACATATCTTCAAGCTGCCAAGGTTGAGAAACGCTGGCATAGAGAACTCAACAATTAACTTGGGATTGTTTACAAAGAAGTAGATTTCTGCCCTTCAAGAAACCTCATGTTTTGTTTGATATCTTGCCAAAATAATCATGCTTCTCTTCTAGATATTTGGAGCTTATTAATTCTGTGAAGACGCAGCTGTATTTTACTTCTACTGGGGTATATTTCTGCTCATTTATTACCTCTCATTATTTGGACTGCCGTTTGCATAATGTTTTACATAACACTAATTACATTGTGGATTTCTAAAGTAAAAGGTAGATATAAATACCTTAATAAAATTAAGGTGCAGGCAGTCCTTCATTAATCCCAAGGGAAGTGGTGCAACATAATAGCCCAAACTAGGTTCCAAACCAAGGTTTAGCTTCCAATACAAGGGAATAGATCCTACAGTGCATTCATTAAACCAATTTCTTTTCTTCTCAACAGTCTCTTATACACCAGCTAAAAACCATAACCACCTACAAAAATAGTTACCCCAATTAGGGGGACTTTGCAAGAAATGGACGGACAAGACCATTCTTCATTTTCACCAGCTCATCTAATAAAAGAGCAAATGTAACCAAATGCATTTCGTCAAATGCAACCAGCAAGTCATGTTTGCAGATTATCAGTGCAAATTCTCCGGCTGCAGTTGAGTCTTCAAAACTGAGAGCCCTTAATTTTAACAGGAGTTAAATACATGCGTGATCCATAGCATCTCCAATGCTATGCGTGTGCTTGTTTCATGAATATATTTGCCAATGTTTTAAATGTATTTGCAGTCCTAGAACATTTGCAGTCCTACGTACATTTGATGTTCTGTAGCAGTTCCATGTCAAGCTGACGTTTCTTGTCCTTAACGCTCTGATCCAGATATGGAATTTCTTGAAGTTTTAACTGAAGGCTTGGAGCGCGTATTGCTGGTCCGAGGTGGTGGTCGAGAAGTCATAACTATTTATTCCTGATCCCAGAAGATTGGCTCTAGCTACTACTTTACCCTCTTCATGAGAAAGGACATTCCAGTTCAAGATGAAGATTTTGACTTTGCTTTTTGTTGCTATGTTTTCACAAGTGTACCCCAATACACTACAGATGTGAATGCAAGTTCCAATGAATTTTTCCATTTGCCACATATCTGTTTCAGAGTATTTCTGCCAAGGACACGTTTAATCGCAATGCTGGGATGTCAGTTTGCTTCTGCTTTTCTATACTGGCAGATGTGTGTGCAGAACATTTTCTTTTTTTTTAAAGAAAAACCAAGTACGGGATTTTAGTGAGCATACATTGCTATAGGAGGACTGAATTTGGTTATTAGATAACAGGATTTACAACAAACAATTTCTCAATTAGGATTTAAGGGGGACTTTTACAGAACAGCTAGTTTTTGCTGTTGCCTCAAGATTTTCTAAATGAAGAGAGCCCTGCATTGTTTAAAATGTGTGTGTGTATAGTTTTTGTAAACCCACCTTCACAGCCACAATTTCAGTGCGGAACACGAATTTATACTTAACAGATTTTAAATTATAACACTATGGTTTCTTGCAGTGATGCATACAGAACTCTGGGTCTCAGATTAAAATAGACCCTCCATGCCCCCTATTTATTTTTTTTTCTCTATTTATTGGTTAGAATCAGTGGCAATAAAAAGATCACCAAGAGTAATTTGTTGAGGTTATGTTGCTCCACTAAGATAGCCTTCTGGTAGCTAAATTTGCGACTAGAGGTTTTCTTAAAAGGTTATTATCTAGCTCTGTTCTCTTCCAAACTACAGGCAAATATGTAGGTCATACTTATCAAAACTTTTAAGTACACTCTTGGGCAATGTGCTGGCTACAGATTGAAGAGTGTAGACATTAAGGGAAGGGCATTTTATACTAGAAACTCCAGGCTTTTTTGCATTAGTTTTCACATCCATTCATTTGTACTTATTGTACAGGTCTGTATCTCTCTTTTTTTCCAATAAAACATTGCATACATTTGAATCCGTATTAGGTGTCTTGAAGTGAATGAAACTATCCATCATGGTAAGGTAAGTATTTTCCCCCCATTATCTTGACCTGTTTCCCAACTAGTTTAACGACTACTCCAGAAGAGAGCCTACTGCCCAGTCTGATAACAGCTGTATGACAAACTGGGAATGCCGATCACCATTGTCCAGCTGTGGGCTTATCAATCTAAGGTAGCCTTTCTAAAATGCTTGTCCCATAACTAAACTGTTGTATAACTCCCATGATCCCTGTCCTTTGGCTAGAAGCCATGAGGACTGTACTCAAAAACATCTTCGGAGCACAAATTTGAGGAAGGTTGATAAAATTTCAATCTTTCTGCTTGGTTTGATTATTAAGAGATTATATTAGCAGTTGTCCAATGCACCCATGAGTTAGATGGTCTTCTTCAAGAATATAAGAATGTCACAAGGGGGTGTATTTAATATGAAGACTTTCATTAATATGAAGACATTCATTCATATGAAGACTTTCATATGAAGACTTTCATTTTCACCCATGAGTTAGATGGTCTTCTTCAAGAATATAAGAATGTCACAAGGGGGTGTATTTAATATGAAGACTTTCATTAATATGAAGACATTCATTCATATGAAGACTTTCATATGAAGACTTTCATTTTCACCCATGAGTTAGATGGTCTTCTTCAAGAATATAAGAATGTCACAAGGGGGTGTATTTAATATGAAGACTTTCATTAATATGAAGACATTCATTCATATGAAGACTTTCATATGAAGACTTTCATTTTCACCCATGAGTTAGATGGTCTTCTTCAAGAATATAAGAATGTCACAAGGGGGTGTATTTAATATGAAGACTTTCATTTCTTCATATCCTTTGATGCCATTAGAACTTGGTGCTTGAAGAAAAAGTGAATTCAATAATAAAATAGGACAATCATTTTAATGTGTGTCAAGGCCTTCAAACTCACCACAAAAATAGCCTTTTTACAAAGTCATCCAGACAAAATATATACATTTATAGTTGACACTTTTTAATCTCTTAAAATTGTACAAATCTATGTAAATTTGGTGCCATTCAGCCTTATACATACACTCATACCTTTGACATACACGTACATTTAAAAATAAATAACGCTTCAGCCTCATAAATCAGAAACTGATTTTACGACTTTTAAAAAATCTATACACACAAAAAGTTGTTTTTCTTCAGAATCTGACATTTTTCAGGCTGTTGCATAGGGAAAACCAGGCATGGTCCATAATGCAGCTGGTGGTTTAACCTCTTTTGCTCTTTAGGGTGTCATTTCAAAAACTTTTAATCCAGTTGAGGCATGCTGTAGACGTCTTCTGTTCCAGAAAATGTCAGGAGAGCAATACAGTTTCACCTAGCAAAGTCACAAGAAAGCATAAAGTTGTGTTTCTCTGGGTTTTGGAAAAGTTTAACAAAAACTGCTGGATTGGGGTCAATATCCTGTAAACAAAGGCCACAATTTAATCATTAGACTGCCCAAAAATCATACAGTATGTATAGTTAAGGTCAGGGTTCTGTAACTAGTTTTATGTTTTAAAAAGGAAGTTTGGGCCTGGCCATGGATCTGCAGTGTTCAGGTCTGATATTTTTATCTACCATGTATCTTGGTAAATGTTTTGCTTGGAACATAGGATAATACAGCTAGACTGTCTTCTCGTTGCATCTTGGAAAACCTGCTAGAAAATTATGTGCTTTTTGACAACTTCCATGCCCCAGAACTTCTAATCTAAGCAATATTTTCAGGGTAAGCTAGGGGTTCTTACCAGGTGGCTTTATAAATAACCCACCCAAGGGAACTCAGGTTTCTAGGAATAGAATTTGCTGTTGCTGACTCGTTTCTCTCTCAATCTGAAAGAAAGCAAAGGGGGGAAAACAATCAGCTACAAGCTTAAATGCATTAGTTCTCTTCTTCCCTAACATAGCCGTTTTCTTAAAATTATATTTATGCATTTAAATTCTTGCTTAAATACAAATAATTCAAAAAGAAAGGAGGTAATATTTGTAGATGGCACTGTATGCTTTGGAAGTCCCATTGCTTTCAGTGAAGTTATTTTAAGCATGCATGCATGAATTCTTTTTATATAGCCATCCACGTGACATGCAACTTAAGGTGGTGTACTCAATTAAAAAAAAAACAGCAAATAATATTTGCAATATAACAAAGCTTATTGTATCAGAGGTAGTTCAAACTGCCAAGGATAATCACTCAAGACTAGTTCACAGGACAACCTGACCCAATACTGGTGGGAGAACCACATCTTTTGAGCCTTTCATCAAGCACTGAATCCCATCCAGGAATGTGACTGGTTTTTATGATCTTTTTATTTAAATACCCCTTAACTGTATCTCAATATGGGTCGCAGTAAAAAACAAAGCTGTAAATAAGGCCTGGTGTTCTCTGGCTTTCTAAAAATAGGGATTTTCAGATGAATGTCCTCTTAAGGATGGAGCTGCAGAATTTGCTATCATCTAGTCATGTTCCAATGAAGATAGCCATTGGGACTCCATTCTATCACCTACTTCCTTCAGTTATTAATCAGTTTCTTTAAGGATTCCTTAATAGTCGGTGTGGTTCCCAGCATACCTCCGGTTGCAGGTTTCCTGATAGACCTGCAGCTGGCCCTCGTTTGCACTGAACTCTCTCAGCAAAGCATCTCGATTGGGACCCCTGGCGTTTCGCCGGGTGTCATACAACTGATTGTTCAGTTCCGCTTGGCGCTGACGCAGCTGCCGGAAAGATGAATAGAGATCTTCCTCGCTTTCCTTCAGAGGAGAAAGGAAAGGAAAGGAAAAGGGATTTTTTTAGGCAACAGTAGAACACAATTTGTAGAGAAGCAAAAATCAGATTTGATGAACCAGCCAGAGGTGATTTTAGAGTCATCTGCATGTTAACTTAAAGTAAACTTAAATCACCTAAATCTCTCCCATTAAGTGGTACCAGACATTAGCTGGATTGAGTCAGTCGTGGAAAGATAGAAGCTTTTATTTTAAACAAAAATATGAACAAGTATGGCTCGCTCTCTCACTCCATGGTGTATCACAGCAGCAAACACTAAAGCTGGCTAATGGGGCATTAGGTATTTGCACCACCTCTTTCCCAGCAGGAGAATCCTATCCTGGATCCCGTTAATTGTCCTACTTGCCTCTGTTCCACCATAGCCGAATCAGGCTAATTTTTCCCCAGATCCTCTCTTCCTATTGAATTGTACTTTGTCAGCCCAAGTACAGAGGTCTGCATCTTACTTTCACGTGCAGTGCTACCAAACCTCTCTTACAATGTGGTGGCATCAGGGGAGATGACTAATTAAAATAAAGGGCAGTGATCATGCATGTATTAAAATGTCCCGCTGCTGTCACATTTTTATTGGCAATGTGATCAGTGTTCCTCCATAGCCTAGAGGTGTCTCCAATCAGTCCCATGGAGAATTTGGAGGAGGGGAAAATTGCAATCCTGAGCTGCAGAGTCATCGCTAGTAGCAAGGTTCTGTTTTGACACACTTAAACTTCTGCTTACCAAGATCTGCTGCGTCTCGCAATATATCAGAAGAGAAGCCAGCTCTATATCTTCACTATATCCATTTTTGAGGGGGACTGACCGATAGCCTAAAGGGGCAAGATGCAAAGCGTTAATTTGCACTTCAAGGCGGTCTCGGGCTTAGACACCTGATGGAACAGAGCGAGGCTCACCTGTTCTAATCTTGAAAGAACAAAGCTTACTAGGAAGCAGCAGGCAGAGCAGGAAAGACAAGGCATCGTGAAGAATCACAAGACAATCATATGCCCCAGAGCTGGAAAAAAACCACAAGCTGCCAAAAGAGATCTGCACTTCTGCAACAGGTCAAAAAGCAAAAGAAGAATCAAAGCTAGCCAGGCATTTTTTAGCAGGAACCAAGTTCAGAGTTTGGTGGAGCCCGGGCCTGGATGGAGTCCACAGTGACCAGCTTTCTTCCTGAGGTCGTATAGATCAGCCTTATGTTGTAGACCCTATCATGCTGGCTGAGTTTTATTCAGAAGGAAGATTGTATGAGAAGACTCCAGACATTTAATTGGCATTTTCTGCCTTCCGTCATGAAGGAGTATTATGTTGCTTTGCAAAACCAGTGAATATAATCTTGCAAAATGTTTACCTAGCCAAGACAAAGACAACACTAAAACACCATTCTTCAGGATGGCAGAATGTTAATAGCAATGTGGAGGTAGGAAAAACTGAGATCAGGAGTTACTTGTAATATTCTCAGAATGGAAGACTATCATGAGTTTTAGAATAAACAAAGCCTATTAAATATTTAGGGAGATGAAAGGTAATTGGAGGAATTGAAAATATTACCAGACAAGGGATTTTAAATCGATTTTTCTATTCCGTCTAGAGCAAACGTTTTAGAATAAGAAGAGCCTTAGAAATAGCTTGGAGGTATGTGTTATCTAAGTACTGGATAGATAACTACAAATCAGGTGAGGTACAGCCAAAAAAAATAAAAATCCTCAAGTAGGATTTAATACAGCCAAGTGCAAAAACAGAACTTGGCTTGTATTAAAAACTCACAAGCAAGAACAATCAAGTTTGTACTTAGACCTATATCCTGATTAAACAGCAAGGATAAGCTGAAAAGAAAACAGTAAAAAGTTATATAAGCGTTTACTACATAGATAAAAGATTTGAGAAAGTGTTTGAGATGTCACAAATAAAACTTGAAGATCAAAGACTGCAATTTAATTCTATTATCACTTCTAGTTCCCCCATCTGAGCTAGGAGAGCAAGCTCGTTCTCCATTAGAATCACAGTACTGCATCAGTCAAACATGTTACATGAAATCTGAAGGTCACTATAATGTGCAAAATACCATGTTTGTTGTTGTATTTGATATCTACCTGATTTGACTCCTTTGATTGGAAAAGTTGCATGTGCTAAGAAGTTGGGGTCACTGAACATGTCTTCCTCATAAACAACGAAGCGCAGAAATGCTGTGTTAGGGTCATAAATTTCAAATTTCACTTGCTCCTGAAATGCCCAAACTGGATTAAGGCCATTGTCATCTGTAACAAAATGAATTTTTTAATTTAATTTTATTTATTTATTAAATTTTTCAACCGCCCATTTCCCCCCAATGGGGAACTCTGGGCGATTCACAACAAACATTAAAAACATAAATATATAAATACATAAAAATTAAATTTTTCAACCGCCCATTTCCCCCCAATGGGGAACTCTGGGCGATTCACAACAAACATTAAAAACATAAATATATAAATACATAAAACCTTAATTAAAATCATTACTAAA